AGCTAGGCCTAGCAGCCTATTCCTTTATTAACTGAAGATCCTTCGGCTATTAGCTGAAAAATGTGATTTTTAATTTGATACCGAGCGGCTTTTACTCTTATAATGCATACCAGAGTTACGGATATTATGTAAAGGGCTATTTGTCTTACTATATTTTGCGCTGTTAGTATCTTTTTACTTACACTACGTTAAAACATGCCAGATAGCTGGCCGTTTATAGTAGGTAGCGCTATACGGCTTAATATGACTTACTTTATGTGGTGTTGGAAGACCGTTGACCTATTATAGACTCTATGTACACTAGATAGCTGCTCACTTAAAATCCCTTTAAACCCTTTATGCCCGTAGTAAATCCTTGTATTTAATAATGGCTACTGCGGCTAGTAAGGCATCTAAAATAGTTTAATAATTTGAAGCTCCGAAACTTCCGCCGCTATACTCAGAAGTAATAGCTTCTGGGTTGCCTATTCCCCCTTTACTGTCTTGCCAGGTGTGCTATGTAGCCTTAAAATAACAGGGAAGCTATACTGGGAGTGTATCTTAAAAAAGGGCTTCTAAACGAGAAACAAAGATGCCTGTAAATACTACGATTTTATATAGTGAATGTAATAGAGTTCTAATTTCCTACCTTATGTAAAGGGTTTGGCATGGGTAGGCTAATAATGGTATAAGGATCCTGGCGCGAGCTGTTTGCAAATCAAATAATTAACAGCTGCCTTATTAAAATGTATTTAACTAAACTTTGTGCCTTCTCCTTTCTGAGACTAAAGTAGCTTGCTGCCCTCTAGTGGCACTAGTTGTGGCTTTTAGTAGGCGACCGCTGTTTATAATGCAGACACTATTTACGCTGATTATACTTTAATTGTAATATATTATGTTTTATAAGAGCGGTAAGCTAGTAGTATAGCTATGCTTTGCCTGGCTTAGATATTGTATTATAATGTATTACCTGGCTTATAATAACTCCTGACGCGTTTGGGTGAGGCTATAATATTTTGTGCCTTATAGCCGATAAAACGAAGTGGCCAAATATATGACAGCAGGTATATTGACTAATAACGACCTAGAATACTGATTGTCTAGCCTATAATACTATAGTCTTCTATCTCTAAAATAGACAAAAATTACTGCGGTAAAAATAAAGCGACCATGGGAGGCTTATCCACTATAACTATCCCGCGAAAACTCAACATCTTAATTACTGTAAGCACCTACTAAAGGGTCGCTATATGCGATAGAACGGAGGAATAAGGTTTACGCAGCTATAGCCCTCCCCCTTGGAGACTTTCTAGAGATTGGCCTTAAGGGTATAATATGGGATATAATGCTATGGAAACTCTGTCTAAAGGGTTATACCTGTAATAACGCAGACAGAGTTATTTAAATGAATAAGGAGTATTAGGCAAGCAGTTACCAGTAATATCCTGTTATGTTTTTTGGCAGGGTAATGTCTTGGTATGAATAGGTGGAAATAAAATATTTTAAACCCTTAAGTGAGTTTTGTGACGGAAAGAAAGTCTGTAATTACCTTATAGCGGTGAAGTTCAGAACCTCTTAAGAAGATGTGCGATGTAAGTATCTTAGTCCGGAGTAGTTATAGCTAGTCTAGCTAACTTGTGTCCTTAAATAGCGTATTAGTAAAGCATTAACAAATTTGAGGCTCTGGCTTCTTATAGATCTGTTAATCTTGATGTAGGGCTCGACGGGCGAACCAAAGCTGACAACGACAGCGAAGTCGAAGATGCGGACGATAGCAATTATGATCCTGGAAGCCTTGAGGCCTTAGCGAAGTATGATAACGAGGACTGGCCTAGGAGAAAACAATCCAAGAGACGCTATACAGCCTCTTATAGACCGCAACTTGCAATCATGAGGAACTGCAATGGTATGCTATGTGCTAACGTTCCTCTATGTGTTGCGACTTGCACACATAAGATAATATGTAAGAACGTAGCTACAGAGACGAGCTACGTAGAAGCTGCAACACCGAATACAGATAGCTAACCTCTCCGTTCGTTTGTATATGATAAGGAGTTAATTGAGAAGGACTATCTTGGAGTTTTTTAACGCGTGCATTTTATTGAGTCCGAATATGAAAAGAAACTTAACTGGGTAACTATTCTACTAATTCTGGTATTGTAACCTGTTCTATTAAATAATATATTTGGAACTAATAAAGGGAAGGATATTTTTTAAGAACTTAATAGGCATAATTTATAGGCTGTTAAGTTGGGCGCTTAAACTCCAAGCAGTAAGAGTACTCTTCCCAGTTTTACGCTGCCACGAAAAAGGGGATGCTTAGATATGCATGGAAATGGTTGAGTTGGGCAATTATTTGAACGAGACTTACTGTACAATAGAACGGAATGAATCTATTCTAGCGACCTAGGCTTTAGCAGAGTATGACGTCTCTAAGATTGGAGCAAGAATAGGATATAGGAATTGTAACTCTTCCCCTAGTGAGGATAAAGTACTGGTGTGGGGGTATAATAACTATCTGTTTAGTTAAAAGAATATGATTAAACTTAGTCCTGTTTATGTAGACCCTATTTGTTTAACTTACTTTGTATACGAACCGTTAATACTGCTCTTAGCCTTGCGTCCTTTAAGTATTGGGGACAATTAACTTGCAGACGATGCTGACTGCGATGTTCAGATACAGGAGGCTGGCCGGCCACGGCCGATTGCACTCGATGGTCCAATTCGCATCGCTGCTGTGGGTCAGTAATTCTGGGCCAAACTTCGCGTGTTCCGAAGGCCTGGTGAATCCACTATCGACCAGTTTTGAGTAGGATTCTCGGAGCGCAAAATAAAATCTCAGATTCCGGGTCAGGAGAACTGGGTCATGGATTTGGCGCCGTTTTGCAAAGGCAGGTGGCTGGTGCACTTGGGCCATGGTGGATCCTAACACCTAGTTACCAGCACCACAACCTCTAAACGTCCACCTAGGTTTAATCATTTTTAGCCCCAGTCAACTCAGCTCTTAAACACTGGCTTCTATCTTTATCAGCTAATAAAATGACTAAACTCAAGGCTAAAATTAATAAACTTAAATCCCTGTTAATAAGCGTTCAAAATTAATTAGAATACCTTATAGTAAAAGGCTATAGGAGACAAAAACGCAAGTCTAGATCACGACCGCTATGTACCCCAGAGTAGGAGACTAACATGAAGAACTGTTCCGAGCTGAGTCGTGACGTGGAAGACACCAAGAAAGCCATTTTTTCCCAGGAATTAAATACCTACTCCTAAATGAACGGATAGACTTTATTGTAGGAGCAAAGCGGGCGAATTTAGATATCGGCACTTAGCTCTAGCTATTACTAATAATGTCGCAGGAGTCAACCTATCCCCTAAAGCAGGTGAATACTTTCAGAGAGGGCACGTCTTGCGAAAAGTCGACTTTGAGGCCCGTATTGCCAGCTTTATTGGAGATAGATTCTGGGGTGATTTCAACCTCTCCTTTGACGTTGTTGGCAATTTCTCTGGGCCTGAACTGTTGAAGCTCGATAATATAGCGGGTGTGGATTCTATGTATAATTATCTTGGAGAAAGGGGTTTAGGCACGGCATTTTATTACGAGGACGCACGCTTATAGTTTTATAACCTAATATTATCTGGCTGGAAGGCATGGATTCTAATATGAGAGCACTATACCGCAAAATTCGAGGATTTTATGCGCACTAAATAGCTAGACAAGTGTGACCAGTTTATACGGTACTGTTGCTTGCTATTTGCCCCTTTAAGCCTTTGTGATAGAGAAATTGAGTTTGATATACGTGACACCTGACCTAGAGACCTGCTGGTGATAAGCCTTGATAGTATTATACTGTTATTAATTTTATTAATAGCTATGCTATATTAATAAACTTTCTGCCCCCTGGAGAGGATGCTATACCTCCTGGACTATGTGTGTGCTCTGAATGTGGCCTCTGGAACTTGTACAAATAAGTAAAAATGGCGAAACCCAAGGCCACACCAGTCAACAAGCAATTTTCAATCTACCAAGCTGTCTCCGAACACAGAGTTAGTCCGAACCACCTTCAAGTATGCGACAAAAATAGCAAATTCAACCACGAAGTTGTGGATTAGAGGACTCGGGACGGAGAGGATCACGGCAGGGTGGTTGAAGGAGCTCGATTGTAGATGATAAACGAGACATAATTGCCTGGATAACCCTCAATTTGAACTAACGATATCATTATACTATTTATGGACGTGTGAATGAAAAGTGTGATCAATCTGGCTATGCTATCTATCAGGCGGAATACGGAAATCGTTCAGGACTACTTATTTCTTCTTCATCACCTCTTACCTCCGAATACCTATTGAAAATGATGCGCTGTAAGCCGCGCGAATTCCTAATCCTCTCCCACGCCCCATACCTGCATTTTCCGCTGCCCGTAAAGACTTCGTCTATTGCTCCTCTGCACATCGGACAGCGCGCCCTGCGGCCCATCCGGTGGCTACCGCCACGTTCTTCGAAAACGACCAATCTAGAAAGGCAAGTCGTATGGAATTTATGCTTGCAACTGGCGATCACAGCGGCGTAGCTGTTCATATTCTCAATCTCTATTTCGTACTGGCAGATGCCGCACTCTCTTTCCTCCGTGGTTCCAGGAGGGTACAAAAGGTCATCGCTAAAATTCCAGCTGGACGCTTCCCAGGGGAAAAGTTGGCCACGGAAATTAGCTACAGCAAGTCTCACGTTCGGGTATAACTCGTTGTACCATAGATAGACCACGGGAGCAAAGTAATTTTCGCTTCCGCCTCGGCAAAATCTACAGCAAAAACCTGGCATCCCGATACGTTGATGTCGGCCAGGATCTAGGCCTTGATCGAAACAACCGCGATGAAATGCACAGCCACATTGCAGGCTAATTTCAGGCTGAGATGTGTCTATACAGACTTTACAAGAGGTTGGTGGTGGGCGTCGGTCTTCGTTGTAAATTTTCAACCACTACTAAAACTTCGTATTAGTACGCTCCAACTAGAAAGTATCAGACTCGTACCTCTTCAGGAAATGTGCCTGATTGTTGGCTAGTGCTTGGACGTCGGCGCGTGTTTGGCTGTTGACGAGCTTCCTCACGACCCTGGTTGGTAGATCGTTGGCGGTTTGGCGACGGACTGCGAGGAGATGATGGCTGCTGGCTCGACCCGTTGCCTCGCTGTGCATTGGTGGAGGGTTCTTGGCTTGTTCTACTGTCCCGTGCTGTGCGTCTTGGGGTGCGTCGAACTACGGGTGGTGTGTTTTGCCTGGATGAGCCGGCTGGTGGTGATGGTGGCCGCTCTGGTTGTGCCGCACGCGGTGGATTACGCCGCAGTTGCTGACCCTCTGCCTGCAGTAGCCGCCGTTCCGTTGCAGGGAGTGGTTGAGGCGGAGGATTTTGACCAGTGGCGGTGTAGTGCCTGTTAATGAAAGCTTGGCCCTCTTTGTAGCCACCCACAAAAGTGCTTCTTGCTATCCACTTTGTGTCGTCTCCCGACTGTAGCTTGATCCACGTCATAGGATGTTGCTGGAGAGGCTCAGGCACAGGCAACAGAGATGCCACGAGAAGGATGCCAAGACGTCCGTCTCTTCGAAATTCGACAAACTCAGCCTTTTTCATCGGCTGGATTTCATCAATGGCCACACCTGATAGGCCTACGTCCGCCATCCTTCGAGCATAAGCAGGACGAGAACCGTAACCTTCTAGGGGACGAGTGGAGAAAATAACAATATTTTTGCTAGGGGCCTTTCCTTCAATTCTTGCCGTTTCCCTGTAGCCGGTGTCTGGATGAATAATTTTAAAGTACTGACGCCCGTTTCGTTCCTGCAATTGGCCGTCCAAAGCCAGAGTCCCGTATGTCGGCTCGCCATCGTCGCTTTCTCCATTGTCGCTTTCAAATTCTCCTTCTGAAGCAAATGTCGGGACACCATCGCCTTCATCATAATGCTCCGTGTCTGTCCCACTGTGGAGACCCTGTGGGTTTGGATCGCTGGCAGCATTTCCCCTGCGACGACTTCGGTTGTCATCCGCGGCGGTTTGCCTGTCACGCTGGCGGCCGCGATCGCGTGGGATCGATTCACTGGGCCGGGCGGGCCGCCCGCCTGAACCCGATGGTCCCGGACGAGAGTCTGGCTGAGGACTTGGATCGCGTGTATCAGAGGAAGCTTCTGTTGTTGGTCGATCCATATCGACATCACTTGTCTGTAAGCCAATCGGGATCTCCTGTTCGTTGGCATCCCCAGACTCTGCGCTATTTCCATTGGTATTTTGCCTTCGCGGGGGTTGCCGCTGTGGATCTTGCCTTGGAGTGGCTTCTCTTTGTGAAGCTTGTCTTGAGGGGGCTCTCCGGGAATCTTGGTTTGGCGGGACCTGCGTTTGAGAGGCCCGCCTCCGACCTCGTGTTTGAGGTGGTGGGGGAGGTTCGTTGCCAGCGGTAAATTCTTCCGCTACATCCTCTAGATTGGATCGCGTCCGCCCAGACCGGGTCCGCGCAAGGCGGGGGCTTTGCTGTCCCTCTCTGACGATGTCTTGATCAGCTCTACTCATTGTAATGATAATTGTAGATGCGGGTAAGGTAGATGAGAAAGAAAGAAGTAATAACGTCCTGAAAGGACAAGCTGAGGATTTTATACCTGAATCTCGGCCATTATCTAAGTTTCAAAGTTCAGAAGACGAGAAACAAGCCCTTAGACTCGGGATTCGAAAACAATGCCTTGACGCTCAATACTTGGAGCCAAGTTCCAAGCTTCACGAACCGGAATCTCGCGGTTCATCATTCAACCTCACTTTCTGCCAGTGTAAAATGTATTCCCTTAGTCGTGCATGTTCAGGTTTTCCTTCCACAATTCATCCCCCCCCCCCCCCCAAAAAAAAAATGCTTGGCATTATCAACGCATTTCAAATTACTGCACTGGTCTTTGTCGCTCTTTACAGCTCGTTGCGACGATGGGATGCGTGGATTATACGTCACTTACAACTCATCGCCCTGAAGTACAGCAATTGTACAGGAAGATGGCAGATATCTACAAAGGATGTAGTAATCTTGCTGCTCTTTGTGGGCGTTAACATTGGTTTGATGCTGCGCCAAATCAGCCACCTCCCAATCCACCAGTCTTCTGGCCAGCTCGCGGTTTTGAACATGACCCTGTTATTCCTCGGCGGCAGGACTAACCCACTCGTGGATGTTCTTCAAATATCGGCTGCTACCTTTCAATTTTATTTTTGCTGCATAGCAGCACTAAGTATCGCACAGGCTCTCATTCACGCATTCAACACCCCCCAAGGAACGACACAGTTCACAACCGGCGTGATAGCACTAGGCTGTGTGCTAGGGTTGATCCTGAGGTACGCAATATCCCACACCGCAGAAAAATGCGGTAGAAGGACTTGCTCAATTTGGATTCGCAAGGTAATGAGTGTGGCTTGTTGGCCTCTGCCCCCTCTCATTACCATAGCCACGGTTTGGCATTTGAACCAAGTTTCTCTTGAGGGGCAATGGGTTTCTTTGGTAGTAAGTTTGATTGGTGGACTGCTATGGCTGACATCTGAATTAATTTGGATGTATAACTACTTTCATCACGGTCGTGCAATTGCCACAATGGAGGGTCAAGACGGTCGTGTCTTGAATATTCAGCTGAAGAAGCCCATCAAAGCCAGACCCGGGTATTTCTACATAAGGGCACCCGAGCTGTCGCCTGCGATGCAGAGTCAGCCCATCCATATGCTATGGTGGCAGCCAAATGCACCTTCGATACAGCATTTTGCAGTGTTGACCGACCAGGTGAAACGGGCTCCTTCTCTCGGGCGCTTTCCCATTCGATTGGATGGACCTTACCAGGAAGACCTGCATTTAGGCAAATATGAGGCCGTGATGTTTGTCGCTCAAGGGCCTGCTCTTTCTCGAGTTCTACCGCATCTCCTTTATCTGACCACCAGAATAACGCGAGACAAATTTGCCAAGGTGCAAAGCAATCGGTGGTACCTGGATGGCTTATTCAGTGACAAAACGCGGAAGGTCGATTTATATTGGAAAATGGATCAAAACGATGACATCTCCTCTGTTAGCGCGTATTTCGACGAACTAAGCGACTGCGGAGCTGACAGCAAGGTGCAAGCTTGGATATTCTACCCTGAAGGTCTTCCAAGACAGACAAGACTTCCAAGGCCAAAAGGCAGGCAACACTGGTTTCCATTTGACGGGGACTTTCTACGACAAGTGTCTTCAGCGATTGAAACGCAGTCAAAGAGAACACCAGGGCGAGCGAAAGTAGTCAGTAAGTTCATCGCTATCTGGAAACGATGCAAATGCTCCTTCGCTAACTGTCTAGTTTGTGGTTCCGAAGTGTTCAACTCGACTGTTCGAAGAGACATTAGAAATTACATCCAGGCCGATAACCTGATTAGTCTCAGCGAGCTGGTCACTATGTCTTGGGCGACAAACGAGAAGGGCAACAAGCAACAGCAAAAGCTCAGGAAGACAGATGTCGGACATGCAGGCCATAGAGAAAAATAGATCTAAGATCCATAGATCTATTACTTCTGGACTACGCTTCAAGCTCTCTAAGTAAAAATTCATTTTCTTAAATATAGAAAACTTAGTTCTTCTGCTGTATTTGCCACATACCAAGAGCCTCAAGGCCCGCCAGCGTAGACGGGAGGAAGCGCCGCTTTAACTCGGAAAGGACGTGGATCTGAGAGCAGATCTGTCAGACAGATTCCAAAATCTGCCAAACTGGAAACGAGAAACTTTTTTAAACCAAAATAAAGTGCTTCTTCATCTAAATAAAGCTGGCTTTCTTTATCCTCTGCATCAAGCGTCACTGAATGTCATCGGAGTCGGTGTAGTTGGTCGGAAAATGAAACGGCTACGGCGAGGCTGCCTTGTCGGCAAACATCTACAGTTGGCTTTCGCCGGCGGAAAGGCATAGATCTTCATCTCCAGCTCTTTCACATACTGTTCTAAATAATCCACCCTTTGAATCAATCCGGCACAATTCAAAGCACAGCATTGTTGCACGTCAGGGTGGCGCTTAATATCCGAGTGGCCAACAGCAGCCCCGTCAGTTGCCCGCCTCATTGTTTCAACAATAGTATCGTCTGCGTCACCCGCTTCAGGTATGCTTACGAGAAATCGACACAGAGAATGCTACACCTAGTAGCTCAACAGAAATAACGACACCATCTCTTGTATTTATACTTTTTTTGCCCAGGTCCTACTGTACCAGTACTACGCACTGCGAACACGTCAGTGACTCTTAACGGTCTATTTTTGGACGATTTTTGATAACAATGCATGGTGTGATTTGTTTCTATTTTTTGCAGCGGAGCAAAGTTCTTGAAGCGGCGCTTGCAGGATTGCTAGTAGATGTGATTAGGACCAGTCACTAACAGGGGAGCCGACGAATCATAGGTGCCCGCTGCAGCGCTAGGTATCACCTGTGCCTTCTAATATGGGCCGCCTGACACCTGACGGAAGTGCTAGGACATGGCAAGAGCCTGCGTGTATAAATATCGCTTCATTTCCCTCCACGTCATGGAAACATAAGTCGTAGTAACGCAACTACCGTAGAGTAGGATGGCCAAAAGCAAAGATGCTTATATTCTTCTCGAAGAAGAGAGAGCGAAGCATGAAGCGACCAAGGCCGAGCTAGAGCAATATCGCAATTGTTGTGAAGGTTGGGAGTCTGCTTACAATGCTTCCTCGGCCATAGTCACTCAGCTCAGTGCAAAGGTATCCTACCTTGAAATGATGTTGTGTGCCGCACAAACTCGCCATCTACAGCTCATAACCGAAAACGGCAGACTCAATCTGACGATCCGGCATTTAGTATGAAGCATCCCCTCAACAATCTACCATATGAACTAATGTTTCTTAGGCTCCATGGAGTTGGATTAGCATCCCACCAGCGAGCTCTTGCCCAGCTCTGGAGTCTGAGGATAACGACTACGAAGAGGTGAAAGAAGACGACACAAAGGGGGAAGGTGATCAAAGTGATTGTTAGTAGCCACTTGGTGGTGGCCAAGGCAAAAATGTGAACAGTAACCGTAATTGTTATTGTAGACCCCATGGTTTCAACTATTCTCAGGAATCCTTGGCTTTTGTTGAAGCCACTGCGGCCTCAATACCTGCGAGCCTGCTTCTCAATGCTTGCACTTCCTTCGAAATTTCGAGGACGTGGGTTAGAACTACCCTGCGCCAGAATCTCGCAGATGCACGATTCTGCTCAGAAACGTCCTGTAAATCTTCAGGCATAGATGCATCATTCTCCACCAATGTTAAATGTGCAATCTGACAATCACAACGCTCTCCCATTGTGACAATAAATTTACCAACTTGCCTTCTGAATATTGATACTAGACTCGGTACGATATGAAGCAAGGCATGAACACCCACGGTCGTTTGTCAACCGCTATATATAATTATTGTCCCAAAGCACATGATCACACAATGCAGTCACTTCACACGGCACTCGGCAACATGCAACAAGTTGTATATTATCTATAGAAACACACCTCACTACAAGACATTGAACGGGACACCCAATCGCAACACGATGTCAGACCTGTTGGTGATGACATTTTGTGAGTATCAACCAACACTCACGCCTGAGACTTATCTGCACGGCACGCCCCCGTCATAGTTTGTATCACTGTGATGGTTGTAGCGGCAATGGTTGGGCCCAGGGCTGATTTGGTGTTGCCTGCTGTGGAAGAGGCTGTCTGTGCTGATGGAGTTGTTGTAGTGGGGGCAGCGGTCGTGGGAACAGGCGTGCTAGTGGCTGTACTACTCATGGTGGGATCTGGCAGGGGAACCAGGGCCAAACAACTTGCAGGATTGCATGTTCCAGGTGTGGTTGGATTAGGTTGCGTTGGCGCTGATGTTCGTGGACCTAGCGTATGCGCCGTGGGGTTGACAGCGGTTGCAGGCTTAGTATGGTCGGTATTGCTGCCCGGCCAGGTTGGCGCCTTTGACGATCCGTCAGAAGCAGTCTGGTCAAGAAAGAACCTTGTTGTGAGGCTGGCTACGGCCGTTGTCATGGTAGTCGTGATGGCTATGGTCCCACTGGTCGTCGTCAAAGTATTTGTGACAACGGCCGCGACAGGCTCAACGCACCCCAAGCGACCCTCCAGGTATCTATTTATGGCTTTTGCGTCACCGCTACCCCGGCTGTTTGCAATCACAGCGCTGTTGCACATCGGCGATGGTTGCCCAACACACAACCTTTTACCGTTAGCTGGCATCGAACGGGTGGGATGTTTGACACAAATACCAATGAATGGAGGCAGCGCCGGCCGGGGCTTCGGAGGGAAGGTTGAATTCGGCAATTTGGCGCCCTGAACAAGCCATTTGCCCAAACTGAACAGTTATTGGCAGAAATTCGTCGTTCTCAAATTGCAGGATTGCTTCGCAAGGGCCTACACTGTTAGACGCGCTGTCGACGCTGCTCCAAGTTCAGTACGGAAGGCCAAATTTAGAAAGACCGGGAGTATGCACGCACTAAGCAGACACCAATTCACCAGCCTTCAGGGGCAGCGGCGGATCAGACTGGCAAATTGTTGGTAAAGTCGCCATGCCAGCGGCAACATTGCATGCTCCAATGATAGTAAAGAACCGCATATTGTGGAGTGTTGAGTGAAGAAGCTCAAAATAGAAGTAGTTTGCAAGCCAGACAGTAGGGCCTTGGGAGAAATTTATAAGTCATTTACGGCCACTGGTTCTGAGGCTTTGATTCTTAAAATTGGGCACTTCAGATCTTTGCAACAGTTCTTCTAGATGCAGGATGCCAGCTCTCTTGCCTAGGCTTTCACTCTAACTCACTCTCGTTCTGGCTATAAGAGACACCCTGTGCGTGCCCCTGATGACAATGGACAAACTTAACTCACTCAAAATGTACTCCGAATCAGACTTCACACTTCCTTTTGAGCAGATTTTAGACTGCGGCCTAGCATCCATGGCCCCTGAAGCACCAATGACCGATTCACTTGGGGCTCCGTTGACTTCCGAGAAGCAGTAAGTGCCACATCCCTAGTAGGTCCGAGAAGCATCCTGATTGGGCAAGTATCCTTCAATGTATACTTCAGAAACTAGAGCACCTCGAGAAGGATGTTGGTCAGAGTACACGTCTGGAGAAGAGGTTTGATACAGTCGATAGAGAGCTATCAAATAAATCCAGACTTGAGGGGATTGAGAAAGACATTGGAAAGCTGCGAGATTCCATCAATAGCCTAGCAAATGACTTGAGGAGTTTCTCCGTAGAGGTGAACATGAGGCTCAAGGAAGCGAACTATCCTGCGGAATGATGAGATGGTGCGGAATCTAGAAATGAAACCTAGGAAACTAGACACTCCTGTAAAGTATATATGTAGGACTATTTCCCTTCGACAGGGCTCGTAGCTGCAAATCCCATAAGGAGCACCATGGACCGCCATAAAACGCTGCCTCCAGTACCTACTCGCCAGCAGGACCCTGAGCAACTTGGCTCGTTCTCACCAGAGACATACATCCAATTGCTGGAAGACGAAAACGAGCAGCTACGGCTTCGCAACCAAGAATTAATTAAGCAGATGCGTGCATTGGAAGCCAAATTGGCTGCAGAGATACAGATTAAGGCGAGTTTGTCTGAAAATTTGAAGGAGACGAAGGGTGAAATCAGGCGTCGCGATGAGACCATCGCCAACATTGCAGGAAGAATCGTCCAGGAGTTTCAGCGCTATGCCGACTCCGTACAAGGTCAGTCTGTGGAAGAAGGATACATTCCGATTGGCTATAGCTATTTCGATTCAAGTTCTTGAAATTAGTTTGAACAAATTTCAGATTCTACGAAATAGATCTTAAAATGAACCATTCTCCCCTCCAGGTTCTCAAAACCAAGATGAAAGTCGTAATTATCAGGCAGCATCCAGGGGACAGTGAGTGACTGGTTGAAACACGCGGACTCATGGCGGCAGGCTACCATATTTTTAGCAACTTCGGGCCGGATCTCAGGGCCGGCGGCTAATTCTTTCGGCGCGACTGTTTGGACGCGTCCTGTACTACTATATAAACTCCCTTATGTGCGGTTCCGGTTCTTCAATTCAGCAAACAATTTCCTAGATTCTCAAACAGCTAGAAGGATCACGATGAAGACCCCAGTTGACAAACAATGGAAGCAGAGGACATCTGGCATCATGAAGAAGGCACATGGCATGCACTGGACTTTCGGAGTCAAAGTGGCCCTCTACCTGGAGCGAGACGGTGAGCTATTCGTATACCGCTCTCATGAAGACTTTGCCTGGGAAGCAGCTACCTTCCTGGCAAAGCAAATCCTAACTCCCAACGACTTCATAACCCTTGCACAAGACATGAGTTCCAGGCGGGCTCAGCAGTCCACCCCGCTTCCATCATCAGAGCAGGGTCCGCCGCAGACACCAGTTTCCTCGTCAATTCCCACGCCAGTTTCCACGCCAGGTTCCTCAGAATGTTCAGTCACTGGTTCTAGAGCACCTCGTCGAACAAGGTCACATGCGACAACGCTCTTTAACATAGCAAACTAGACTAGCCGTGCTACAGTCTCTTGTAAATTATCTATCTGTTCCTTCAATGAAGATTTTGGGTGATCATTCGCGTCTAAACATGGGAGAAGATCTGTAGGGCAGCTACACAGCTCTCTAGTGCCCGTAGCAAGTGTCCCATTAAGCTTCACAGTGATTATAGATCTTGGAGAATGTAGCAAGACTTCCAGGCGTCGCAAAAGCGGTCTTCCGTTCTTCAACCCCTCTAATATCTGATCAGTACACAGGAGGAAATATCTAACTTGACCGCTCTCGTGAAACTGAATGTGAACCCTCCTCCTTCGCATCCTCATGGCGATGTCGAGTAAATGTCGTCCCGCGGGCAGTCTACACTTGACCCAAAGTACAAAGCGAGCGGGGAAGAGATCGTAGAAAGTCGGAATTCCCTCCCTTTGAACATAAAACAGAGCCGATATGAGCTCATTTGCCATGCTCAGCGTCTCCGGGTAATTACTGTTGTGACATTGTGTAATTACGTCGATACGGCCATCCGGCCATATGCGATTAGCCTCAATGAAAGCTCGAGCGGCGATGTTGTCGACACCTTGGAACAGAATTGAGAATTTTTGCAGCCATTTCGATGATTTTGTAATGTAGTTTTGGCAAATTGCTAGACGGCTGTCTGTATTGTACAAAACCAGCTTTATCTTGGCATCAAGAAGGTCGCTTCTCGGGAATCTCAACCCTTTGCCAAAGAACAGGCTCTTGTCATCAATCCTAACGCACTTCAGCTTCGGTAGGTGATAAATGCAGTCCTCGACGGTAGCTTGGTTGCAAAAGATCATTACCATGAAAAAAGCGCCTATGCCGCTCCCTAAGACGAGATCAAAATAATCCTCAAGGCGGCCCGACAGCGACGATCGAAGATCCTTCAGGAACATTGCGATCGGCAGTGCATCGTCAACGTTTCCATGAAGGTTGAGAACACGAATACCGGCCGAAGGGGGCTTCAGAGCCGTTTGCACTGAATTAACAGCTCCGCATAGAACGCAGAAGTGCATCTGGTATATGTCGATGCCCTCTTCGCTTTTCTTGCCGTTGGTCTCCGTGCAATCATCGCATACCCTGTGGCCGCATGATAGGGTAGTCGCTGGAAAGCGACAGAGACACACGAGACATAAATCCGTGGGCAACGTAATTTTGCTACTGCATGAAAGAGTACGCATCGAGCTTGCTAGAAGTGTTTGTCTTTCCGAGGGTTCGGCCTTCATAAACTGTATAAACAGTGTTCTGACATCTGCTTTAAGAGTTACCGGTTCTATGCTGCTTAACATGGGCGAATAAAATTCGTCGAACCAGTCGGTGGAAGACAATTCCATTAATTTAGGGTTCAGCATATGACCAACTCGCCGTCTATGCTGATACGTTTCTAACAAAAGTGAATTGGCTATGGCGCTGCAGGCCGATTCGTAGAGAGTGGCGTCGTGCATTGTCAGGCGGACTAGTTTCTCTGCACCCCATGATACTTGACCTGGCAAGGGGTTTGTGCGCCATGCTTGTTGAAAACTGAAAGTCTTCCGGTGGTCTTCAGCGAACTGTGAACAGGTCGAGCGCAAGAGGTGTTTCACGTCGCAATTTCGGAATGTTAGGGCTGTGTCATTGTTTCGAGTTGCCTGTGTCCACTCCAAAACATGATCAGCCGACGTTCGCGACCTGCAGCCACGCATCAGCCGAATTCCTGCAAAGCAACTACGCCATCTCTTCTCTGCCTAACTAAATGAGAGCCCCTCGAGGGGACTGTAGTGTGACATAAGTTCTGCTGCTAAATCTCGTTCAACGTCTCTCAGAGCAATCTTTGGCTCGTCTTCCGAAACAATGAGCACCTGTGGCCTGCAGCGAATGGAGGAGGCAAATGACAGGTCCACCCAACGAGCCAAGACTCCCACAATGGCGAGAATATCCCAGTAATCGTTCTGAATGAAGACCACGGCCTCGCAGAGCGGAGACAGAGCCCTGGCATAAAACTCGTGGGCAAGGTCCTCGGGGCTGCCGTACGATTCTACCTGTCTTCTGGTCAAATTTGGAGGACAAGGGCCTGCCTTCATCGCGGGGTATGACTTCTGATGATGAAGGTGGCAATCCAGCAGAATCGTCTTGGCAAATCGGCACATGCGAACTTGTCTGGGTGCTTCTGCCCCGCTACATCCCCCCGTGCAAAACAACAAAAGCAGTTTGGCCTGCCCATCGGGCCGGTTGTCAAAGCTCTGATAGGGCTGATGGAATTCCTGAAGCACAGGCGTCCTGAAGTCATTGCCGCCGCGCACAATGTCAATCCATGCCGACATGATGGAAGAGTTGCTGGCCACTGTCAAGGCTCTGCCGGCGGATCGCTGACTGAAATATCTGCTTGCACCTGTTATCTGATATCTATGTTCTCGGATACTTGTGCTTTGCAAGTTGCAAAGCTAAAATACGAAATCTTGGAACCAAGATTCACCGCTGCCATCTGACTGTCCAATTGCAAATTCATACAGCTGACTACCTGCGATGTCCGGTATGGGAACCCCTCATTGTATTTACCTAACAAGTCCCATTTCTTCCCCTTAAATGTAGCCTGTGCATCATTTCCATCATATCCCTGTCGTTTGGGGGTTCATCTGAGGGTCGAGTTGCTCAACTTCCCCGGCCTCTGGGATCCGGCACAGGGCAACATGCTTTGAAACCATGTTTTCTGATCCGTTTTCTCATGGCACTTTCAGTATGGGCTTAGTTCTGGCATCCGAGCCATTGCTTTGTTCTTCCATGGGGCTGCATATGTGGAGGTTTTGCCGAGAATTGATCAATGGATATGCAGTCGGTGATCGCCATACTTCTGGGCGGTTGTGGGGTAACTCCAGACGGGCTGAAGCGGTGTGCGTTCAAGTATCCGGTGGAACTAGAACAATTCATAGAAGGTGCATTCATTTGTACAGAACTGTTAGTTATAGGTTTGCCAGTTATTAGTACTAACAATAATACAGTTGACATTCAATTCAAATCATGTCTAGTTAGATGGTCCTAATCCTCCTTATATCTAGCTGTTCCATCATGTCGGTCACATCTTTGCCCGCTGCGTCTATGTGATAGCCAAGCTCAATATCCCCGGTCTCTGGGATCTCCAGTATGGGAGCATTGTTAATATTAACACTCTCGGGGCTCTTCCATAGCCCATTCATGTTGAGCTTATTTTTGTCGTTGGAGTCATTGTTTTGTTCTCTGGTGGGATTGCATACGCGTCGGTCTTGTTTAGAGCAGTGAAACGGGTACGGCGTCGGTGGTCGGGTCACCTCGAGGGAATGGTGGGGTAACTGCAGAGGAGTAGGTTTCTTGGCTTTGGACCGCTGGGTGCTCCTGTATCCGGTGCACAAAAAACAGTTCATAGTGGTTGTGTGTTATGGTGTACTCCCTTCCTTGGGCTTGCCTTAACCCATCCTCTTGCTGCTTATATATTCTTGCTAAGGATTAAAAGACCTTGGTTCTCATTATCAAGATCTAAGAACTCAGCCAGTAGTATTCCAGAATCAAAACTCGTGATCTTGTTTATTAGTTTCTGGTTTTTAGGCGCCATTGCAGTCAAACTAGACTAAAAACATCTGGTAGAGGAGGGCGCGCATTTGGGCGGACCTGGCTGATTAATAGTGGCTCTCGTCTGAAAACTCAAATTTAAGTAACTACTGGAACCACAGAATCTAGTACTAAGAACTGAACTGTAGTTTCTTGGTTTTGTATGTGTTCAGCTACTGCCACGCTATCCATCGAGTCCATTGAAAGCCCCAGACAGGGACTCGCAGGGAGCACCACTAACGATCCACATTATCTAGCCACGTCAGATCTCAAAATTTAATAACTAGGTTCGAAGAACTTGTTAAACAGATTCAAGTATTAAGATCTCTGTTATAGCGTCCAAGTAGCCACGACATGAGTCTTCTGGAAGCCGCAGGAAAGACAATGTCCCGCCTGGAAGCGAGGCCACATCACCCACTGCGAGCTTAAGTCGCGAGCCCGTAACGGTGCGTTTATGAGCGTGCCATAAGGGCCTGATAAGCTATATGCTGACATTCGATATGGGCTCATGCTACGACACAACACAGGGGCTCAGATATCGCCAAACTTAGAGAATGTAACTGCCAAGACTGCCTAAGATAGTCGGACACAAAACCGCTTCTCACCTAGGCCGAGACGGGAGGATAGGATTATGGCAGACATTTGCAAAGAGATTCATTCTTGATTCAACCTATAACAACGACCAATATTACATGTTTCCAACCTTATCAATTCTCATGTACTCCATTATGTCCCCCGGTGAGATCATCGTACGACCTGTTGTTGCTGAATCTTGCGTCAATTGGCTGCCGATAGAGGTAGTTACAGTTCTTCCGGGAGGTGTACCGAAGCTGGGAGTAGAACCGTCCTCATTAAGTGGACAATCCGTCAAGTCAAGCGACGAACAATTGCTCGGAGACGATGCTTGTTGAACATCCGGGACGAGGATGGACCGCGGGCTTTCGGATTGTGGCTGCCGCATACGCCTTCGATTCAGAGCAGACTGTGCGGCAGAAATCACGGCAGAATCTGAGCCCAATTGGCTGTATGAGACATCTAATCCTTCAAGGTCCGTAATCGCAGATTGCTGTTGTATTTCGACGGACGCTGCTGGAGTGCTCGTGGAGCTCAAATGTAGGTCATGTGCTCTGAGTATCGTGTCTTGGTCTATGACGCTGTTCTCCTTAGGAAACCCGGCAAAAAAGGAACGCATGAAATCGCATTGCACAAACATAGTGCTAGGGTACAAGCAAATCTCGTTCTCCCTGAGCATTCTTGGCAGAAATAAATTGTTTGCTATATAGCGATACGAGCATGTCAAGGGTCGACCACATCGCCTTTTTACAACACTCTCTTGAGATTTGCAGGGAAAGCTTTGGTTGGGAACAGGTAGCAGAGTAGTAGTCGAAATAGAACGCAACTTAGACTCAATTGTACTAGAATTAAATCCTTGAGCTTGCGCGTGTAGTAAAAACCTCTTTAGTGTTGACTCGTCAGTGCCTGCATGGATTGGCTGGATCCCATGCTGCACAATTGGTCTTTCGGCAGACAGATGCGGAAAGTTTCTCAAAGCCGATATAAAAAGTGCCTGAAAAGCCAAAGAGAAGCTTGGGGAACAAGTTATTGGATAGAATTGATGTTCCGCTTCTTCTATCAAAGTCTCCCTTGGTTGCCATATTTCTTGCATTGCTTGAGCCACAGTTTCATGTTTGCCCAGTGGGCGACCATCCAGAAGATGGTCCCGGAGTATGCGCATACCAACTCTCAAATACTTCATGTTGCCGTGAAAGGTCTCAATGCTTGGAATAACTACGCCTATCCCGAGCAGCTGCTGCTCAATTTGTCCGCGTAGATGAGAATCTGAAATGCTGCCGAAAAGCTTTCCAGATCGCATGAGAAGCCGTACCTTATCGTTGTCGGCATAGCTTGCGGACGGGCATAGGAGTGTAAGCTCTTTGACGGTTTCATTATCAGTTGCCATACGTACATCCGAATTATTCAGGGTAATTTTTCTCCAGGTCTCTTTGATGTGGCGCAGATAATTGTATATTTCTTCAGGGCACCTGTCAGCAAAGTGCTTATCTATGTTGCCAAGTTGCCAGCCATTGCGAAGACCAGGGTAATCCGTTAACTCGTACAACAGTTCAGACATTACTTCATCTTCCAGTATCCTCTTGAGAGCCCCTTTCTTGTCTTTAGACAAGTGCAGGTGCCAGTAATTCTCGTTTTCACGCTGGCGCATTCGTCGGCATGCAAAGACATGGCGAAATACGTCGCCATCAGAAAGCTTCATCTGATGAGAGCTATGATCAATGTGACGTAAGAGCAAAATCTCCGGATCGCTTCCCTCCGGTATACGAAATATTCGCACACTCCACCACTTTTCAGGTCCGAAATTCCGCATGGCTGCTTCATAACGTTGTCTACCATGTAAACAACGCACATTTCCAGTCGGCTTTAGCCGCGGAAAAGGAGGCTGACCATGAGCCAAAGTCTCCAACTCGATCCCTGGTGTTTGCGTGAGTATAAGAGCAAGCTCACTTGGTGACACAAAGACAGGAATTTGGTTTTCCATGGCATCCGGATCACACCTTTCCTTGAAGATGGCTGCTAGGCAATCAACAGCGGCCAGTTCTTTGTCACGAGCGAAGGGAAAGGTGAGATTTCGCAGTTGGATTTGAGCGTATCCAAGTTCATAGCTCTCCTTGAAAGGCGTGGTGGATTCCATGTTTGGTGTTGCAGGTTGTATTGTAATTGAAGAAAATTCTCTCGGTCGATTAAAGAACAGCCCAACGGAAGCAAAGAGGTCAATTATGTCACATCTTACATAGCAATTTAAACGCAGCCAGAAAAAATATCACCGAGTTCTGCGATTCAAGAATTAAGATCCAGGCTGTTGGGAACAAAAATCCAATAGTTTAGATACCAAAGACTAGGATTCAAGAGCAAAGAACCCAAAACTGATTCAACACCACAGTACCACTATGAGCGCTGCTATCCCCCGTAGATGGCAGACTCCCGCTGCTATCCTCAGTGGATGGCAAGCTTATTCTGCGCTGTCCCCAGTGGATGGCAAGCCTTTTCTGCTATCCCCCGTCGATGGCAGACTCCTCCTGCTGTCCTTAGTGGATGATAAGCTTATTCTGCGCTATCCCCAGTGGATGGCAAGCCTTTTCTGCTATCCCCCGTGGATGGCAGACTCCCCCTGCTGTCCTCAGTGGATGATAAGCTTATTCTGTGCTGTCCCCAGTGGATGGCAAGCTAATTCTGCGCTGTCCCCAGTGGATAGCAAGCCTTCTCTGCTATCCCCCGTGGATGGCAGACTCCCCCTGCTGTCCTCAGTGGATGACAAGCTTATTCGCGCTGTCCCCAGTGGATGGCAAGCTAATTCTGCGCTGTCCCCAGTGGATAGCAAGCCTTCTCTGCTATCCCCCGTGGATGGCAGACTCCCCCTGCTGTCCTCAGTGGATGACAAACTTAATTCTGTGCTGTCCTCAGTGGATGACAAGCCTATTCTCTGCTGTCCCTAGTGGATGGTAAGCCTTCTCTGCTATCCCCCGTGGATGGCAGACTCCCCCTGCTGTCCTCAGTGGATGACAAGCCTATTCTCTGCTGTCCCTAGTGGATGGTAAGCCTTCTCTGCTATCCCCCGTCGATGGCAGACTCCTCCTGCTGTCCTTAGTGGATGATAAGCTTATTCTGCGCTATCCCCAGTGGATGGCAAGCCTTTTCTGCTATCCCCCGTGGATGGCAGACTCCCCCTGCTGTCCTCAGTGGATGACAAACTTAATTCTGTGCTGTCCTCAGTGGATGACAAGCCTATTCTCTGCTGTCCCCAGTGGATGGCATCCCCCACTGCTTTCCCCCCTTGTGGATAGCAGTCTGCTGTTGTTCCAGGAAGACCAGCTTGCCAATTGGACGACCAAATACATCTTTGCACAGTACGATGGAACTACAGGCCAACCTTTTTATGATTTTCGTTGAGTTTGGAGCAGAACAGTCAATTATCCTATTTAGTGGTTGTAACTATTATCCACAAATCCTCCTTACTTCTTCAGGTGAGTAGATTGTGCGACCGGTTGTCGTCGAACCTTGTGAATATCGGCTTCTGGAATACATTTCTGTGGCTCTGGGTGAGGAGTGCAAGGGCGGACGGTCACTATGCGCCTGTCCTGCTGGGTGTGCTGGTGAAAGCAGGGACCGCTCGCTCTGGCACTCTTGGTAGAATATGGTGTCGGCAGAGCGGATGGTGTTGTCTGGACGTAGTTCGTCGTTTGGACTCCGCGACCCCGTTATTTCGCGGTCAGTTTGAAGCTGTTGGAGCTCAGGCCTGGTTGGAGTGTCTGGGAGGATGGCCGTTGCCATCGGCAGGCTCGTTTCTGCAGCCACTATACCCATGACTCTGCCGCTGTCGTCGTGGGCAAATTCGTGGAAAAAAGAGCGCATGAAATCGCTCTGGATGAAATTGATGGTAGGGTATGCGCCAATTTCACTTTCCACAAGCATCTGGGGCAGAAAAAGAGAGCGGGATATGAAGTTATAAGAGCTAGTTCTCGGGCGGCCACATCTCCGCTTAGGTATGCTTTCTTGTAAGCCCTCGTACCCTTGACCACCGCTTGGAGGCGCGTTGCTGGGAGGAACTTCGCGCAACTTTGACTTGATCTTCTCGGAATTAAATCCTTGGGCTTGCGTATGCCTCAAGAATCGCTGTAGACAAGACTCATCAACACCCGCATTAATAGGCGGCAATCCACTCTCATGAATTGGCCCTTCGTCAGATAACTTCGGGAAGTTTCTGATAGCCGATATAAAAAGTACGTGATACGATATAGAGAAGCTTGGGGAACAGGTTAATTGATAAAATTGATTTTCTGCATGTTCGATCAAGGTTTGATGCGGTTGCCATGATTTTCGCATAGCCTCAGCAACACTTTTTTCTGCGGGCAAAGCATCCAGCAGATGATTTCGAAATATCCGCATACCAAGGACTAGATACCTCATATTTTCGTGAAAGGTCTTGATGCTGGGTATAATTACACCTATATTTAGCAGCTGCAGCTCAATTTCGGCACGGAGATTGGCATCAGAAACATCGCTCCAAAGTTTGCCTGAGCGCATCATGTTCCGAATTTCTCCCCGCTCAACATGGCTAGCAGAAGGGGCAAGACGTTGGAGCGCTTGAACCGTTACAGTATCAGTCGCCTGTTGGATTCGTGGATTACATAGTGTAATTTTCCCCCAGGTGTTATAGATATGGGTAAGGTAGTTGCAGATTTCTTCGGGACAACGCTCACACAAATGCTTCTTCATATTTGAAAGCTGCAAGCCGCTGCGGAGACCAGGATAGTCAGTCAGCTTGTACATTGCTTCGGCCACAAGATTCTTCTTCATGAGTCTCCTGAGGCCAGTTTTCTTATCTTCGCTTAGGTGTAGATTCACATGATCAATATGGCCCATTTGACCCGCTCGCCAATGAGCATACGTTCGGCGAAAGACCTCGCCATCCGAAGGTGGCGTCTCAAATAAGTGATCGTTTATCACTCGGTGAAGCAGATTCTCCGGATGGTGTCCCTCAGGAACAAGAAATACTCGAACGTTCCACCATGCTTGTGGTCCTAAGGTCCGTATGGCGGCTTCACATCGTTGCCTACCCTGTAAGCATCGCACATTTGTGACGGACTGGAGCCGCGGATAGGGATGCTGGTCTCGCATCAAATCAACAAGGCTAATATTACATTGCGCATATACTTGCTCGAGCTCACTTGGCCAGAAATAAATGGGAATCTGGTTTTGTTTGGCGACTGGATCACACTGTTCGTTGAACACCCTTACCAGACGGTCAATTGCAGCCGGTATTTTATCACGAGAGTGCGGGAAGGTGAGATTTCGCAATTGGACTTGAGCTCCGCCGAGACATTGATCCATAATGGAGATAATAGTTTATAAAGTTTGAGTTGTGAAAAACATGCATGGCTTTTTCTTACGTGTCGTTCGGCATATTTTATGCTTGACGGCGGGCTCTGTGACAGGCTATCTCAGCCTCTTTTGGGAGCAAGCATCATGTTCCTGTCAGATCTTGGAAAATGTAAGTCCAGATTCAGGAACTTGGTTGTTCGAGAAGAGACATGGGCCAGTCGTGACATCGTTATCGAGATTAGTCGGAGACCGCAAAAACAGGCCGCAGTGGCGATATAAGATGCCAGATTCTGGATCCAAAATTCCAAATCTTGACACTCAGATTTGAGATCTTGCAGCTAAAACCTAAGACTGGAGCTTACACCCAATCTGTGATGGTCAGCTCCGGCAAGGCTCGCACCCTAGGCCATGGACACCCACCCATACGATTCTACAGTGGCATGGCCAAGTTTACTGGGTATTAGCGCGTGTTTCGGGGTCGAAAAGCTTTGCTATGCTTTATTCGTATGTTTGCAGTACAACAACTGAAGCTCGCTTGAATGCAAAAGATGAGCACTGGGCTTCATATTGGGCACGGAGCGCCTAACTTCGCTAGCATCCTGCGAAGTGTGTTCTCAGTATCTACGTGAGCGGTCTCTAGCTTCTGCATTCTTGCTATTATGTCGGCTGCTCTTTCTGAAAGTCCGAGAAGGGCATTCTTCTTCTCAGTATCTGTCTGGTCGGCCTTTAGCTTCTCCATTATTGCCTCTATGTATGCTGCTTTTTCTGAAAGCGTGATGAGGCCGTTGTTCTTCTCAATGTCTACTTCGACGGCCTCTAGTTTCTCCATCATTGCTTTTAAATCTGTTTTGCTCCCTGAAAGCTCCAGGGCATTCTCTTGTTGAGCTAGTTGGCCTAATAATAGGCGCACGGTCTGGACTATAGCTTGATTGCCAACCAAGTCTTCAAACTTACTTTGCCGCAATACCCGGTTTTGTGCATTTCTGGCTGCGAGGTTATACTCACGGTTCAGTTTCTCCACGCTGAGTCTGTTTTCAGTAGCATTGGTAGTAAAGTAAGACGTCCGACGACCATCTCTCGTCACTCGTATTACATCTGCGGAGACTTGAATGCAGGGCGTGCTTGTAGATGATTGAGGTGGCAAGTTCATGACGAAGACTACTCAAATTTTGGCCTGAGCTGGAGTAGAAACTTTACCGTTACACACCACGGCCAAGGGGAATCAGTTCCTTTTATAGCTTGGAAGAGTTCAAGGAGGCACTGGCACGGTATAAGTGTTTCTGTTAGGGCGGGGGAAAACTCTTCGGTAGTACTGAGGGTGAAAAACGAGTGGAGGGGGTGATTATGAGGGTGCTTTGAGATATTGTTAGTACAAAGGCTGTATGGTCCATGTCGTGGCCGGAGTGTATTTACATGTCCCCACGACTTTCACCCTCAGCGCTAGTACAAAGCGAAAATAATGTTGAGGCCGACATAGACTGTTACGAGGTTGCCTAGAAGAAGTCTGGGAATTGCGGTGCTGTCGAAGTACAATGCACCACCAGCATGGACTTCGAAATTATCCGGGGAGGGCGTCGCGATATGACCATTCTTCACATGGGACAGCCATTGACATTTAGTGAAAAGGGCATCGGAAAACTGATGGGACCTAGGGCGTTGACCCTGGTTTTTTTAACTTGTCCCATTCTTGTCAAATTTATGCGACATATCACATCAGCTGCTTGATGAAGCGCGCGCCAAAATCATGCGACCAGTTTGTCGGCCGAATTATTCAGGCCTTTTTGACAAACAGGGATGCTCGGCTTTGTGACCTTCCGATTGCTTAAGTCTTGTTACCTGGCTGCCTGATGTGGAGAGAAGAAGTTCAAGGCGTAGATGCAGCAGTTCGTTGATCAATCTCTTAGGGTGACCGATGCGCGACCCCTAAAAAGCCCCGCACATGGACCTTCCTGCCTGACAATCTCACTGGCCGATTGTTCTGAAGTCGTTCATGCAACGTACTCCGTGCAGCAGGCATGCAATATTGGGCGGCTGTCACCCCTTTGCTTGGTAGCATGCTGCATTTACGTTCTGCAAACGCGCATATTTCGTGGCCTTTTGGTTGACAAAAGTGAATACACTGCAGTCCAGCACTTCAAGCCTGTCCCTCTAAGCGTAAGAGGGACAGCGCCCCTCACCCTTGCGCAAAGCGTTGTACGCAATTGGTCATGGACCATTGGCCAGGGATTCAAACCCGTCTCGTTGATTGATTGATGGATTGTATTTTCCGTCCAGCGACTTTGGTCGCTCAGGTCTCCTATTGGAGCACAGGACGTGCTGAGCTAAACTATATACAACTTCAACCGCAGAGAAGCTTCACCCAGCGCTTCTTGCAAGACCCTGCAGGTTGAGCCGTCAGGCTCACTATCAGGTGGCGGCTTACCTACCCCGGCGGAGGAGGTAGGTTGTCCCCAGCACACAGTACAAGTATCTATGGCTATTCCCTCTGAGTATCAATTCTTCCACAGTCTCGTTCGGTGAGATTGTGTCCGTAACGGGTATGCTCTTATCAGCCCCCGAGCTGGAGCATGCACGAAGGCGTCAACTTGAACTAAAATTGGGAGCAGGTTTAAACACGAAGTTAGTCTGGGGACAAGCGAAGGTGGTAGAGACGCGTGAATATGGATGACCCACTACAAACAGTTCATCGCAGAAAACTCAGTGGTGGCGGAAACGATTGACGGTGACAGTGGCGGCGACGATGATGGTGGTGGGAGAAAGCGATGACGGTGAAAACAGCCGAACTAATGGTGTAAGGCCATGAACCCAGTACAGAAGGATCAGTGCGACAGCTCAGTGTAGACAGCCAAGTGCAGACGGCTTGGTGGAGGCGGCTCAGTGCAGACGGCGCAGTACAGCCGGCCCAGTGTAGTGCAGTGGCTGACTGAACGAGGTAGACACCATGAGAGGCTTGGTTGAGGCACATGGTCCAATGAGCAAGGTTCGTTAATGTAGGCTCAGTAAGCACACCTCAGTGAACACTGACAAGAAGTAAGATGGGATACGCGAAGATCCCAGTAAATACCCGCGGCTCAACTCTTTCCACTAGAAATGGTCAGCACAGATCCGGGGGCTTTCTTGCATGTCCATGGGCGACGACGAGCAAGGACTACAGTAGCTACAAAAATTGCAGATGCCAGGTCCGTTTCCATACCCCAGGTCTTCTTTACCTCTCCGAGTCGGGGAGCGTATTCGCTTTTCAGCTGTCTTACCCCAGACGTCCAGTCTCTCCTTTATTTCTGCTTCCTTGTCTCTGTGTTTTGCTGAGAGTTCGAGAATCGCATTGCGTTCTTGAGCTAACTTTTGTAAAGTCGAGGTCGAGGCATCGGCTGCAGGTTTCATCCTTTTTTAGCAAGCCTGCACGCCCACGCCTCTTTTGCTCTCGGTTTCGTGCTACTCGGGTGGCGAGCTTGTACTCACTGTCCAATTTCTCCAAACTTGGCCATTCCTCATTACTACTAGTAGTACAGTAAGGCATTCAACGACCGTCTCTTGTCGCCCTCATTACGTCTACGAGGACCTGGATGCAAGGTGTGTTCGTGGATGATTGAGGTTTCATTTGCGGGAAGAAGATCAATCATCCATCATCAAGAAATGACCTGAACTGGGGCTGGATAACTTGTCCCTGCGCACTGGTGACCATGGGGGGACCAGTTTCTGTTCATAGCCTCTCGACGGTTTCACTGAGAATCGCGACGCAGCGTCGACGTTCTCTTTAGATCCAAGAGGGAAACTTGGCGGCAATGCTGCAGGTGACGGCAAAAAAGAGTGCAAGGCTGATTACGAGGCTGCTTTGAGACGTTTGTTGGTCCTACATTTGGCCCGTCCAGTCCAGGGTGGGAGTGCCCCATATCATTGAGAACGTCTATTCACATCCCTGCGATTCTCGCGTAAGTATAATGTGAAGTTAGCAACGAATCTCTGTAGGTGCTGCCTCCCCGGCTGCCTACAAGAATTCTGATACTTCGGCCTGCTTCTGAAGTACAGTGTACCTGGATGGACTCGGGCATCATCCGGGTTGCAGCGAATGGACGATTCCTCACAAATAAGCGCCGGACATGGAACACCCGCTGACATTTACTGACAGGGGGCTCGGGGTGGGGAATGGGTCAATAATGAGACCTTGAGTAAACGAGTCTAGATTTTGTGATATATCACTTCGTGTGATTGTCCTCATGATATTGCTGGTTTGCTTGGTCGGGGTGACAGGCTGGGAGTTACGTGTGGGACAATGGACAACGCCGAGTAGTTGGTGATGGCTAGTGGCTCAGCGTTGAGGATCCTGTCTCCTTGGGTTGGATAGCCTCCGATTGGTCAATAAAGCACCAGGGGGGCAGGCGTCATCACCCGCTGTTAACTGACGAACTACCCGGAGACGGATGTTAAATGCATGGCAACAGTTAGCCCAATTTATTTTGGCTTCCTGTCAGCCTGAGCGTTGCGCCCTTCGCCGTTTCAATGACGGGCTCCCGCGTCTGTCGTTTGATTGGCCGTAATTGCATCCATGGCATTAACTGTTGTTGGTTTGACAATCAACAGCAGTGTTGCACGGACAGACACCCTCTGTCAATAATGATGGAATTGTTGGCCTGTAGTTATTTCATTCCTGCGAATCTCTGTTGCATGACTTCCTCCCATATTCCCCCTGTCCTCTTCTGATTCATTTCAAAATTTTGCCAATTGACATTGCAGGCTTGGTTTTCTCCCTCAAAGATGGGTTCCGAATTTGAAGCGATTGCCACCAGCCTCCAGGACGAATGCACCACATGCATGGAGGCATTAGACTCAGCCATGAGCAGGCTCCAACGACTTCTTGAGCACAATACACAGGGGAAGCTTGACATCCCCGGACATGTCCACCGCGTGTCGCGAGCCATCAGTGAGCTCGATAAATTCCGACACGCTCAGGCTCAGTCTATAAACCAGGACGGTATCTACATACATTGGCCACAACTACAAGAAGTGCTGCAGGCGTGTTTCAGTGTTATATATATAACTAAGCTTTGTGTGCATTCTTTTGAACTTACGGTGCAGCACCGCGCCGTCGCTGGGGGTTCCCAGATGGATGAGGCTATAAGTTGGGCATTGGACCGAAAAGTCTCCTCTAAACTATAAGCCGCAACAGAGAACGACAATGCGCGAATAGTGATTTGCATCTAGGGTTACAAGAAGCTACGAGCGGCGATCGGGTTGAACTTGGAAATAGGGTAGACTGACAGTTTAAACTTCCAATCGGCAAATATGCGCGCTTGACAAGTTACTTGTATTTTGACTGCCCTGTGATTAGCCTAGGTGCGAGACGCAGCTCCTAGGGCGGAAGTTTTATTCTCTCGACATTTCCTGTCCACGGTGTTGGATGTCCCTGTACGCCGACGACCTCTGTTTAGGATGTGTGTTGGGTCGCTGTCTTCGTCGCAAAATGACAGCCCCCCACCCGCACCCCGAGCAGCCATGTTGCTTCTGCGCCCTCACATGCAGTGTTCTACAATGATACAAACCTATTGAGTCCGTCCTTGGGGGACATATATTCCTCTTTCCTTCGACTCACGGTGCCACGTCTCGATGGCTATAGATTCCGGCGCTTCTGGTTCGCTGACCACGCTGCACAGCGGGCAGATGGAAAAGCCATTTATCCCCAGGGCTGAGAACTTGCTTCCAAAAATGAAACGAAAGTCCGTCGCGCAACGCAAAGGAAGGGATGATAAGTACCAAGAAAGTCGACAGAGCAGCTCCCGCGGCGCAAGGCAAAGTCCCTCGTTCTCCGAAAGCCCTTCTTTATTGTTCGTCCAG